GCTGTTTTGAAAAAGGCAGTGTCACCATCAGCCAAAAAAATTTCAAGGATGAGGCTGCCAAGATGTATGCCCTCGATGGTGCTGGGGGGATTCCTAAGGTACTTGGGTACTGTCCAAAACCTCCAGCGATCCTCCAGTCCTTCAGGGGTAAGCTCACACTCAACCACCTTCTCTCTGAAGATAACCTGATCTGCCAATATGACCTTATACAACTGGGGCTCCTCCTTGGTGAGAAAATCCTTGAGATGAACACGAAAGGTCTAGCACACAATGACATCAAGGAGGATAACATAATGATCCAAGGGCCCTCATCCCGGCCAGAGGTCAGCCTCATTGACCTCGGTCTGGCCTGTGAGATCGGTAAGTCTTGTAAAGTCAGCGCTGATTGCCTACACGAGGACTTCCCCTGGATGGCCCCTGAAGTCTGCCGTGGGTTTAGGACCACCAAGAATTCAGATACATATTCTTTCGGGTTTGTCCTGATGGAATTGATCAAGGAGGCCCCAGGGGACCATCCAGAGGTCACAAAACTCGCCAAGAAGGCCATGACCAAGCGCCGCACTGACCGGCCATCACTACCACACCTCCTCCGAGAATTCCGAGAAATCATCAGTTGAAGAAAAAATTTTAGGCCCCAAGCTATAAAGCACACACTATCTCTCACCTTCCCACAGCGTATCTGAACGAAACGAAAAACAAAACTCAAACGACAGGTAAACCTTGCATCCGATTCCTTGTCCGCCTGACTTCAACATTCCCCTAACTCAAACCTTCAACAGCACAACCTTGGACTTTTTTTCATAAGATGGCAGATCAATGGGTAAGGAAAACGCTTAAATTCACGATGTTAATTATATTTTTAAATAAATTGGGACCAAAACTCTACAAAATAAGGGTTAAAGTTGCTAAAACATCACGTGACTGAGAAAACTAGTTATTTATGATAGGATTGAAGGTCTAAATCGTTCCTAACTCATCACAAGCCATCAGAAAAATCTAGTCTGCATGTCTAGGTACAGATTGATTGATACGTTTATTGAGATACAAAAAACATTAGTACATCTCAAAGGGATGAAGTGACATAAGTCATCCCCACCCCAATCCAGGAATGTCCCTCTCAGGTCTCACATAAATCCCTAATATTTCATATAATCAGTTATATACATACATAGTTATATTCTAGATGAAAAATTTCTATATTTCTTTAATATATCATCTATTTTCGTATTTTTATACATCCACTCTATTTGCATGGGGACATTATTTATATGGGCATTTTTATATACATTAAGCAATGGGCATTCCAGTATATAATGTGGCAGGGTATGGGATCTGGGTGTTCTACAAACTCTACATTCTTTATCCTGTTCACTTCTCTCAGCTCCAAGTTCCCAATAATATTTATATCCTAATCTAAACCTCATATACACTGAATCTTTCCACCTACTCCCATCTTTCCCATATGTAAATTTTGTGTTCATGAGAACATGATGGCAATGTTTCATTGTTTCCCTTTTCTCGTATATTTCATTCCTTTTGAAATTATCTTCTATTGATTGTATTTTCCGTAATTTGCTCCTTAATTGTTTCAAGGTTTTAGTACATATTATGTCGATCTCGGCCTTTTCCGTGGCTCTTTTTGCTATTATATTTACTGCTTCATTAAGACCAATCCCCGCATGTGAAGGGACCCATACAAATTGAACATTATGGCCATTTTTCCTTATTGTATTTACTAATTTTCTACATGAACCAATAATGTGTTCAAAGACTGGACTCCCACTGTTCAAAGAATCCAAAGCTGCCCTACTATCAACAAAAAATATGCATCTTTATACACATTTACAACATTTTCCAACCCTACTAAGATTGCATGTAACTCAGCTTGTGTTGATGAAATAAAACTGCTCAACCGAAGTCCAATTTTGATGTCATCATTCCCTTGTTCTGTGTACTGTCTTATAAGGATCCCGCACCCTGCCCTGCCACTTGACATAACTGAACCGTCACAATATACATGCAATGTGTTTATTTTAGGCAAATTACTAATCTTATTCCCATATAAAGCCCTTAACTGTCCTGGTTCATGTAATAATTTCTTCATTGTGAGAGGCACTATGTCTAACTCTACTTCACGTTCTTCCCAGGGTGGATTCTTACAACTCTTCTGAACAGCTGTACACCAGTCTGCCAGATTACATTTTTTAATAATATTTACTAATCCATTCATGCATCCTCCCTTGCCTTGCCTACAGAAGGTCCGTTTACCTTTTAAACCATCATTTATATCTTGTACAAATTTACCCCCACTGTTCCCTCTCATTAATCGAACTGCTGCAACTGTATTAATTTCATTGACCCTCTGTGAAATGCTCTATAACCCTAGTTCCATTTTCATTATCTCAATCATTGCATTCTTTTGACACCCTAAAATTATTCTCATTGCTTCATTTTGCATGATCTCAAGCTTCTGTAGCCTTCCTTCACCAGTACAAGAGAGGACAGGTGCTGCATAGTCTATAAGTGATCTGATGGTAGAAATATACATCATTCTCAGTATGGGTACCCCAGCACCTTTACCACAACATGCTAGAGCCTTCAAGGGCTGTAATCTTGCTCTACATTGAGTGAGGACATGATATATTTCTGCCGCTTTACTTTCACTAGTAAAGCCAATTTACATTCCTAAATATTTATACTTTGACACTTTCTCAACAATTTTTCCATTTAGAAAACGGATTCAGTTCCTCTTCCTTTACATTCACACTTGGTTTTTTCTTCATTGATAACTAAGCCCATCTTTTGCGAAAGAACAATAAAATTATTTAATGCAATCTGCAAATTTTTTAAAGAGTTTCCTTGAAATAAGATGTCATCTGCATAAATGATGGTTACAACTCCTTTGGGATATTTGTGTGAGGCTATCTTGTTCATTAACACATTAAATAACATTGGACTCTATACTCCCCCTTGGGGAGTGCCTAGTTCAAGTGCTCTTTCCTCAGACAAACATCCCTGATACCATACACAGATTCTCCTTCCATGCAAGTAGTCACCTATCCAGTGTAACAACTTTCCTGATACCCCTAGAGCAGCCAGTTCATTCATAACTACTTCATTGTGAGCTTTATCAAATGCTCCTTGTAAATCCACAAAAACTCTACATCTGTCTGCATCATTTGATAAACATTTTATAACACAGTCTGAAGTACATTTCCCTTCCAAAAAACCAAATAAATTACAAGATAAATTTTCCCCCACAATATATACAAGCCTATTTAATAATACTCTAAAACGACGGTAAATCACCACTATATCGACGCTAAATAAAAACACCCCAAACAAATGATAATAATTCCCCATGTGATTCAACAGATAATAAGACTCCCAGGTTCTGTTGTAAATAAAGGAAATCTAAACAGAACCTTAACACAAAGGTACAGATATTGGAAGCCACAGTCAATAAAGATGTCAGCCAACTTACCAATATAATCCATTAATTTTAAAGGAGGAACGAGACTCGATTCCTCATAATGTCAGTATTGTGTTTTGCATCTACCAGAGTGTGTCAGAAACGTATACACAGTGTCTTATAGATTCTGGTGGTGTTTGAGTGAATATTGGTATTAAAAGAGCAACATCTCTTCAGTAGTGTGAGGTCTGCCATAGGTGAGGACAAGGTTGCCACGATCAACCACGAAAATGTGACGGGTTGTGTGTGTCGACGACGACTAAAACAACAACAACAGCAGCTACAACATCAACAACTACAACAAAAACATAAGAGTATATTAAGCTGAACAAACACACACACACCATCTTGAGTTATTTAATGAGAGAGACACGTGGACTATAACAAGTTAATAAAGAGAATTTGCATCGTATTGAAAAAAATTGTCATCGAGTTATTTTGAGTCATTTCCTTTGAGCAAATCGTCACCCGGTTATAATAACAGGCAGCATTCTGTACACATTTTGGTGAAAGAAAAACAAACTGAGGAATATATATCTCTCTCACTGTCGCTATTTTTATTTTTTAGGGGAGCATAAACAACAAGCTTCAAGATGCAAACAAAACAATATCTTTAAACAACAGATTTAAAGGTGTAAACAAAATATATCCCACATAAACAACAAACTCAAGGGTGTAAACAAAGAAATAGCTTACTTAAACAACACACTTAAGGGTGTAAACAAAACAATAGCTTTAAACAACATATTCAAAGGTGTAAACAATATATATCTCATGTAAACCAAAAATTAAGAGTGTAAACAAAATGTATCCCAAGTTGACAACACACTAACAACACTGACAACACACTAACAACACTAACAACACACTAACAACACTGACAACACACTAACAACACTGACAACACACTAACAACACTGACAACACACTAACAACACTGACAACACACTAACAACACTGACAACACACTAACAACACACTAACAACACACTAACAACACTGACAACACACTAACAACACTGACAACACACTAACAACACTGACAACACACTAACAACACTGACAACACACTAACAACACACTAACAACACACTAACAACACTGACAACACACTAACAACACTGACAACACACTAACAACACTGACAACACACTAACAACACTGACAACACACTAACAACACACTAACAACACACTAACAACACTGACAACACACTAACAACACTGACAACACACTAACAACACTGACAACACACTAACAACACTGACAACACACTAACAACACACGACTCCAATGTAATAAAACAAACACCAAAAGACCTATTAAAATCCCAAACAGAGAATCAAATTTAGCTTTTGTCAATATCCAACTGTAGTGAACATCCAACAGAGCATCGTGTGACTATCGGCCGGTCGAGCGAACATGGTAGGTGTATGAGGAGGCCTGGTGGTGTGTGTGCGTGGTAGATGTTCCTCAATTTCATATGGTCAGTCACCTGTTAGGTCATTTACAAAGCCAATGTCATCAAGGAAATATCTCAACTGCACCAGAAAATATATTAATATAGATTCTTTAATTAGTCCGTTGGGTATTGTCAATGGGAACTGTACAATTGTGTTTTTTATCTGAGCTATAATGCACTTAAAACGTGGCACCGTCTTTGTCAGAGAACATCAGAAATCGTCTTACACTGCCAACTTGTTGCAACTCTTCAACTAACGCAGAGAAACACTCACAGAGGCGTGTAGATCCGAAAGTCAACAAGACACGAAAGGTTATGTCACTTGTTTTTTGATACACAATCACCGAATTACATCAGAACTGTTAATTTTTTTTCTTCTTGAAGGTATCTTTGGCTGACAAATCATTAATTAGTTCCAAGGATTCTAGCTGTACCTTCTTGAAATTCGGGATCATCACAAGATTCCCGTGTTCCACTGCTATTTCTGAAGAGTTACAGTTTGGCAAGGAAAGCTAAGATAATAATTCGTATGAGTAATCATGCTTGAATCTTTCCCTTGTATCATGTGGAGCTCACAGAACACCTGAAGAAGGTCCACAATATACGACAGTCGTACTTCAGTATTAAATGTAGCCAGCAAATCCATTTTCTCTTGTATTTCGAGGAAATTCTTCACTTGGTTG